CTCTCAAAATTTTTCATAAGGATTTAAAAGAGGATCTCCCCTCCCCCCCCCTCGACTCTATTTATATTATTAAAATGCTTTAGTAAGAAAATTTATATTGAAGTTAACAAGCAGCCTCTAACTGGTGCATTCTGCCCAAATGCTCGTTTCACTAGCTTGCCCAACTTAAAATGCACTAGATTCACATTTCAGTTAATGTGAATTTTTATATTACTTTGTTTCATTATTTTTTAAAAAAATTATCGCATTGTACCTTTCCGCTCGAATTCAGAGTCTTCGAAAAAACCGAAAAGTTTTTCATAAACTTCAAACCAATTATTTCCATGTTTTAATTAACAATTATTTGAAAGAAATATATAGTTTTAATAGAAAAAATATTCAATTGCGTGTAAACAGGCAAAATATTAGTCCAATTAGAGTAATAACTAAAGGTAAGATTAGTACTATTTCATTGCAAAAAAGAATCGAATTTACTAAGCTACTGAAAAATTTGTAATTAAGTAATACAAATCGTTTTTTTAGAATCATGGTTATTTCACTACACAAAATACAATAATCATTCCGACATATCTAGCTAAGAGAATATGACATGGTTTCATGAGGGGAGAAAAAAATAAACGAGTTGGTGTCCATTGCAACCTTCATCGATGAAAATAGCAAATAAAATATATGTTCAAATCTTGATAGTCACACTAGTATTACATTTTATTCCACATTAACCTTTAAATGACGCTTCTCAACCGTGCAGTTTTAATCAACGAAAAACTAAAAACCTCCGCACGATACCTTTTTCGAAAAATTGATTATGAGTTTGAGTCGTAATGACTTGAATGAATGCAAAAGTCAGGGCCAAAAATTACGCAGTGGCGTATCAATCCACCAACGATCCCTATGTTTTCTTAAACCCATTTTATGAGAATTTTCATAAAAAATAATCAAAGTTCAAACTTAAGCTGCTTTCGTTATTCAATAATAAAACTAAAATATCATTTTTTTCCTACTTGGAAAAAACTCTATTAATTAGCCCAATATAGTCATGACTTGTTCATGTGTCAACACTCGAGTCATATTTTTCTTAAACAAAAAAATGAATATTCAACTTATGACAAATTTGTCATGGCATTTGCACAGCAAGCAGAGGGAGGAGTGAATCATGCAAATGAAAGGTGTAAGTAGTAGGAGGGGCAGGAGCATGTCCCACGATGGGAACGAGAGTTTACAGGAGGTCGTGTGTGTGTGCGTTTTTTTTTTTTTGTGAGAGAGAGAAACTCATTTTTTTGTGGGGGGGGGGGATAATTTTTCAAATACCCCTATAAGTTGAGATATATGTCAAATGTCCCTAAAAGATATGGGCATAGTGGAATGATCTTTTGGGCTAACATGTTTGAGTTATGCACTTGTCAGGTGGGTGTGCAAATTCGCTTGGTCTTTTGCAATTGCACCTACGAAAATTAACAACTGTCATGGCATTTTGCAAAGTTGGGTAGCGTCTGGTAGGGGTACATTACAAAGATGGGGTCCAACTGATGGCTGGGGTGTTTCGCAAAATGTTTTGTCATCGTCCTTCCTGCAGCGTAGCTGCGGCAGGTCCACTTGTATAATAACTTAACTTAACTACTATACTAAAGGAAGGATAGGTCCTCGTAAGACGCTTCCCCTGAGTCCAGGGAAAATGAGGCCCGCACATCGGTTCAATGGGATAGACGTAGTGCCCCGTTTCGTACAATTTGTTTTTGGGGCGGGTGGGCCTGCATGTTCATGCGTTTTTTTTGGGGCGCGCTTGGTACGGTTGTTGTTGGCACGACTTTATAAAACGTTTTTTTTTTTTTTGCGCGGGTTTGTTTTCTGCGTGCCGTCGATTGCAGAAAGTGTTGTCCCGCATGTGTCGACCATATTCAATCAAGTAGTGTCTATTTCCATGTTATAGCAAAAGATTCATTCAATTTTGTTCATCCTATCGATCGAAGTAGCATGAGGCCAGCTAGGAGGTCGGAGACCTACCTGTTCTCTCTCTCTCTCTCTCTCTCTCTCTCTCTCTCTCTCTCTCTCTCTCTCTCTCTCTCTCTCTCTCTCTTACTCTCTCTCTCTCTCTCACATACACACGCACACACACACACACACACACACACATCCACATCCACATTCACAAAAAAAAAAAAATGAGTGGTAGTGTATATTTTCATGTTCCAGTGGAAGATTCATTCCAATTTTGCTCATCCTATCGATGAAAGTAGCTTCTTCCT